GTCCTGGAGGGCCGGTGTCCTGCAGAGTTTAGCTCCAGTTTGCCTCAACACACCTGCCTGGAAGTTTCTAGTATGCCTAGTAAGACCTTGATTAGCTGCTTCAGGTATGTTTGATTAGGGTTGGAGCTAAACTCTGCAGGACACCGGCCCTCCAGGACCGAGTTTGGGCACCCCTGCTATAAACTAAGGTTTGACTCAGGAAACCTCTGAATGAGACAGAATTCATTTACAACTTCATATTGACAGACTGACATTTTCCCATGAATGTTTCAACTCAGAACTATGTTTAGCTGCAGTACAGTGAGCCTGAGGAGTGTTCAGCCATTCATCTTTCCACAAGGCACTGGTCTGCTGCACCATGGGTGTCCTCCCATCAGCTTCTCAATGGTACAGAAATATTTTAACTGTAGATAGGCTTGTGTTGAGTATGAATGGCAGGTTATACCTGTATCTTTCTTCAGACTGAAGGTGAACTTAGTGTAAAGTCACTAAATGAAAGTGTAACTATTTTTTAAGAAGATGTCTTTAAAATAGCACACTTTATCTTGATGTTTTCAGAAACAAGGTCATCAGTACTCAAAAAGACTGATCAGTGATTAATGCACTTTTTGCTATTTTTGTGTTAACAAACTCACATTCCAGAAGTAGGAGACCACATTTTGAAGCTGTTTTTCATTTTTTTTATTTAAACCAGGAAATAAAGTTTTAGTGTTTTGTAAAACTGAAAACAAAGAAAAGGGTCACACTTTATTTTAAGGTCCAATTCTCGCAATTAACAAACCATTAACTACAACTTTTGCCTCAATACTCTCCTAATTTGCTGTGCTTCTTATTAATAGTTAATAAGGAAGTTGTTACGTTTAGGAATTTGGTAGGATTAGGGATGTAGAATATGGTCATGCAGAATATGTGCTTTATTAGTACTAATAAACAGCCAATATGTTAATAATAGGCATGCTAATAAGCAACTAGTTAATAGTAATAATTGGTCCCTATACTAAAGTGTTACCAAGAAAATTTATGAGGTAAAATGAACAAGAAATATTGAGAGTTCTGCACTCTTAGTAGGCCACTGCAATTACTGAAAAAAATACTGAAAGTAATGAGTAGTAAGTTTAGATGTGGTCATAATGTCTGATATAACTGAGCTCTGAATTCTCTGATGATAAATTGCTATATTGTTTTTTTATTTAAGATATAATAAAATATACAACAAAATACAAATATAATATATAATATATACAATAAAAATAAATATATATAATATGTACAATATGTACATATATGGGGCTCTCTGATCACTGTTTGGTTTATCTTATACTGACCTACAGGCGGAAACTGAAATCAGCTAAACCTGTTTTAAGGACTGTTAAAAGATGGACTAATGAAGCAGAGCATATGTGCATTCCTACCAGGACATTCTTATCATTTAATAATGATAAACCGTGGTTTCCTGGGAAACTCAAACAGCTTCGTCACGCCAAAGAGGATGCTTACAGAAGTGGGGATAAAATCTTGTATAACCAGGCCAGGAACAGACTAACAAAGGAGATCAGAGTGAAAAAAAATACTCTGAAAAGCTGAGAAAAGAGCTTTCAGCAAATGATCAAGTGTCAGTATGGACTGATCTGAGGAACATCACCATGTACAAGACACCACCCCCACAGCCTGCGGAGAATCAACAACTGGCTGACGATCTGAATGTGTTTTTCTGCAGATTTGAAAGGGATAGTCTACCACCCCCCATCCGCTCTCATCTGCACTTCACCCATTCACCTACCACCCCTGCAACCCCCCCCTCTCCCTCCCCCACCCTTCAACCTCCGCTTAAGGTCTGCTTCGTCACGCCAAAGAGGATGCTTACAGAAGTGGGGATAAAATCTTGTATAACCAGGCCAGGAACAGACTAACAAAGCAGATCAGAGTGAAAAAAAACTACTCTGAAAAGCTGAGAAAAGAGCTTTCAGCAATTGATCAAGTGTCAGTATGGACTGGTCTGAGGAACATCACCATGTACAAGACACCCCCCCCACAGTCTGCGGAGAATCAACAACTGGCTGACGATCTGAATGTGTTTTACTCCATCATTTCGGTCCCCAAAAAGACACAAATCACTGGACTTAACGACTACAGACCTGTCGCTCTCACTTCTGTGGTCATGAAGTCACTTGAGAGACTGGTCCTGGCCTACCTGAAGGATATCACTGGACCCTTGCTGGATCCTCTTCAGTTTGCATACAGCACAAACAGGTCTGTGGATGATGCAGCCAACATGGCACTGCATTACATCCTGCAACACCTCGACAGACCTGGGAATTACACAAGGATCCTATTTGTGGACTTCAGTTCGGCCTTTAATACCATCATGCCTGACCTTCTCTCAGACAAACTCACAC